TAAAATGCAATTGTATGAATGTAAAAGTGACAGTAGGTGTAGTTCCAATTCTGTGTGTTTCTTTCTAGAACTGGTAAATTTGTCTGCCTGAGATAGTTTTATTGTGGAAGGGAATGTTTTATATACGTCAATGCTATTCATATATATATATATATAGATTTTAGAGTATATGTCAATTATCTTATTACCGAATTGTTTTGTGCTTTAAATCGCCGTATTGTATAATTTGCATATATTCTCTCTTCCAGGTTTCTTATGGTGATGTACCCTGTTTGGATTTTATCGTAGATAGCTGGCCAATATTGAGCACATTTATTCTGAAAAAAAAAAAATAAATTCAAGTCGTTCAAACAAAAGGTTGGAACAGGTTGAAATATTTCATGTATAAACAACAAAATGTTGTTAAGATTTATCTTCATAAATCAGCATCATGCAATCCGTATCAGTTGCTAAGGACCGGATTACGATCTTTCAGGAAATATTTTCTTCTTTCCACTTAAACTGAAACGTTTACTGAAAACCATTATCAACTTTCTGTTTCGTTTTTATCAACGTTAACACAACAATAAATTCTTGTGAAATATGTTTGCCACAATTCCAATCAATCCACATTTACCCTCCTCCAATCTTTCCCCCTCATTACTCAGAGTTTGTCAGTTTGAGCAATATTTATTTTTTTTTTTTTGAAGGATGTCAAGCATTGCTTTGCTTTTTTTGACGCTTATGCTTCCAACAACGTTATACATTTTCTTTATGTTTTTTCTTAACAGCCAATACTAGAAATCTAAGTATTTATGTCAGGGAAACAAAAACTAAATAATGTCGTTTATTGCAAAAGAACAAATCTGACCAAATTATATACTTTGGTATTCGAAAATAGTAATTAGAAAGATTTATGAGTTTTGTAAATTTTACAATTATATAATTATGTACTAAATGATTTTTGTCATGCACATGCGTACTCGGGATTTTTAATTTACGAGCATATGCTAGAAAATCCAAGTATCTGTATGAGTGAAACAAAAGCTAATGTTCATTGCAGAAATGAGTATTTTTTTTATAATACTTCAACTTTGATGAGGAAATGTAGCGTAAGTGAGCTTTGTTTATTTTTCAAAAAACTAATTGGAATAGCCCATTATTTAACACCTTTCCCCCTTCTTTAAGGTTTGTCAAACAGACAATGACGAAAACTTCCTCCTGCCACACCAACTTCCAGAAGTCACCGATTGTCTTTGGTTTCGGACCTACAGTTTAATAATATTTTCAGACAAATATGATAGAAAAAAGTTAATCAAGTAAAAACAAGCTTTGAATAGCCAGAATTGTTTTGTCTTATAGGAAAATTTGTGGATATAAATAATACTAGTATAAAACATTTAATCTGACATGATAGTAAAAAAAAGAAACAAACAAAACTTTAATATGATATAAAAAAATCTTTGTAAGAACATAATTCATTACTGCTTTTCTGACATACCTTGAGTTGCAATGTAGGATCGTTGACCAATAGCATTCTATTTTCAAAAAAGCGATCAATTTATATGAATTAAAAATAACGTGTATCATAATTTTAATGTTGAAATATAACTACTGGGTTGATGCAATAAGCAGAATATTCAACACTGTAACAATAGTAGGTAATGATGTATAATGAATTTTGCTTTTGATTGTTTTATGTCTCAGTAGAGAATATCTCACTCACATACGGACGTCAACATATATCGACAAAAACTTTAAATATTCACATTGCACAAAGCAGATATAAGGAAATTTATCATTAAAGAGCAATATTTATTACAAGGAAGTTATATTATGGCCTCCACTAATGTAATTTTATCACTTTGTAAATGGATGTAGGGATCTAAACATGAAATCCTTAATGACTTTACATTTAAAAATTCACGAGAAGAAGGAAAACGAAATAGAATATTTTTTTCAAATTAAAAAAAATAACGTAAATGTCACACCGTTTAATACTAATAATTATGAATGCTTGATTTCACATGCTTTTTAACTTTTCGTGAAAAAAATGACATAATTTTTAATTTTAATTGTAATAAAACATATATGTATGTTATTTGAATTTAAAACTCCTCTATTTCATTCAGGTATAAATTACATGTATTATACAAAACAACAGATTTTTTAATGAAATTTACATGTATATTGGGCATAAGGTATAAAATATCTTTGCTTATGAATTGATACAATTGTCATGTACATGTATAAATGTTCTCTCACCTCGATATAATTTGCATTGATGTAATCTCCGTCTTGCGAGGCGTCAGTTCTTAAAACAACTCGGGAATGGTCGTCTGTTTTAAATAAATATATCTAAAAGTTTTTGGACGCCAGATTTTCCATTTCAAAATAATTAAGAGAATATATGTCCCTCTGCTAAGAAAAAAAGAGGATGTGGGAATCTAAATTTGGAGTCGTGTTGATTAAAGAGGGATTGATGGGGCAATAGGGAGTTATGGTAGGGGATTTCATTGATGAACTCAATAGTTTCTTGACATATCGCAGCATTTTTATACACAGACAGGAAATTAAATTTACTTTGACCTTTGACTTTTTTACCTCAAAATTAATAGAGGTTTCCCTTGGGTCATAAGAAAAATCTGAAAGGATTCTCGAGATATGGCGTTGAAATAAGTGCTTAAACAGACAGAATATATGATAACCTTTTGACCTCAGATCTGTATGTTTTTTTTATATAATGGTGGTTCTTTCAATGTATTTCATTGCAAACCCAAAAGGCTTCTCAAGATATCGCGCGGAAAGGAAAGTATTGCAGACACCATGAAATAAATTTAGACAGACACATGGACAGGCATACAAAACAGACAAACTGAACAAATATCTTCTACTCTCAGTGAAAGTAGGGTGGCAAGAAAATGAATTACTTACATGGGTAAGTTGTTGTGTATCTATTTTTGGGTTTGTTTTCTAGTTTCTTCCCTTCCTCGCATGGAAAAAGTTCGCCTCTTGGAATTTCCTGTTAAGTATGTGAAAAAAAATCATAGGTCGCATTTATCTGCTTACATAAAAGACAGACCCTGATATTTGACGAAGCAAAGGAATAGAATTATACTCAAAATTTGTACATATATAAAGATTTGATTTTCATAAACTTCTTTTATATTAAGTACATCTATATTGTCATACATGATACTCATGCTTAAATCCAGCATTTTCAGCAGTGGACATTTTGGCTATGACAGTATTCAAATTTCTCACAGGTATGATTTTGTTTGTAGGACGGCCCTTTTTAGCTGTGTCATGTACTTTATCCAACTGGTTCTGATTATGCGGTGCTTGTTTGTTGCTTTTTTCTTAAAATATAGTTAATCACGTAAAAAAATTATCGGATTCTTTAATATTTCAAATGATTTTCAAACATTTTGAACAATTTATTTTCTAAACGACAATTAATAAAATGAACATTCTTAAATAAAGGTCGTATAAAGGACAAAAAATCTATGAACTAAAAGCAGTGAAAATTTTAACTGATGTAAAAACAAAGATTCATTTTATCAATGTGTTACTCGGTATAAGTTCCATCGTAGAACTTGTTTCCTTCAATGTTATTTCCATCTTTTTCATGAGTTTTATTCCTGCTTTCCTCTTTAACCTTTAAAAGGATAAAATCAGAAACGCATTTAATTGACATTTTAAAGTAAGAAAAGAAATTAAAAAAAGAGAAAAGAATAAAAACGAGAATATCATCATATTTTCAATATATTATAGAAAACAAGAGAATATACAGAGTCAGTAGAACTGGGTTTTAGTAATTATTTTTGTGTTATATGTAATATTTTCTCTACCTTACGAAAATGACAGCCAATGCAAAAATGATAATAAACGCAGCGCATCCACCCAAGACGGCAACCAGAAATATCGCATTCAGAGACGAAACATTTGAAAATTTAAGACCCGTTTCTTCTTCTTTAATAGAATATGAAAAAGAAAAAAAATACTGTAAGTCTGTCGAATATAGTTAACGAAAAGTTTAAGTAAATGTTAGTAAAATACAAGTTTGCTTATTCCTTAAATTTTGTACCTAGCGTTGACTTGTCGCAGATGAAAGAAGCCATAATAATACCATAATTATCACTGTCTTTTTTTTTTTTAAATAATCAAAAAGAAATTAATGTTGAAATAAAAAATATTGTGTAACATTGCTATAAGACAAATATGTGTTAATTTAACGGATTGCTTCTTTTTTATTTACTCATCTTAAATTGTGAAAAACAAAGCTTTGTATAAAAAATAGTCGTATTCTGTTTTTACCAAAGCGATCCCTTAAAAGTAAAGTAATGAAACTACACAATACCTTGTTTGCATCCATTGATGTGATGGCAGGTTTGATTGCAGTTTGAATCACAGATCTCAGAGCATTTTTCCCCAAAATTTCCTGCTTGACAAACTTTGAAAAATAAATATAGATTATTATTGGTATACTAGTAATTATGTATCCTTCAAAATAAGTATGAGTATCTTTGCTGAGAAAAACCAAAATAATGAACTCAAAACATCCTTCAAATTCATTCATTGTTCTTACTGTTGAAACATTGTATCCCTGTGTAACCTTTTAAACAACCTTCTAAACAAGTTCCATCTATGTGGTTGCATTTCCGATTTTTACATTGTGCACTACAATCATCACCGCAGTTCTGACCGAAAGATCCATTTCGACAAACTGTTAAATAAGAAGAAAAAAACAAACAAACAAACAAACCAAAAAGCCTACAATTGAGATAAAACTATTAAACATGGATGGGCAAAAATAGTGGGAAGGTGACTTACAGTCATTACAGAGATTTCCCCTATATCCTGGAGAGCAACCATTTTCACAGTGTCCATTCTGTTTATTGCAGAAAGGGCCCCCAAGACAGTAGACACTGCAGTTTTTAGCACAATCTTCACCAAAAGTTCCAATCAGACATTCTACATAATTATACATGTTTTAAAGACATTCTGTGACTTTGAATCATAAAAATTGCACCATGAAATCAATCAATAAGATATGATAAAAAATACATCTTTAGGAAAGATAATTAAGTTTAGATGCAAATGTATTTTAGATTTCGACATAATTACCGAAGATAATTAGAACAGAATGAATGTAACTGATATAAAATACGGTTAACGTTGATAACATATTTCTTCCGTTTATTTAAAAATATTACAAAAGAAGAATACTTCAAATGTAAACATCTAGTTAAACTTTCTCAAAAACATTTGCAATTTATTAAGAAATGTTTTGATCGTCATTTGACAATTCATAAAAGCTTTTCATGACTCACATGTTTCTCTAAATTCTGAAGAATAATATGAATGTTTTGTTTATATTTACTTTGATCACACTTCTTCTCCATCCAACCAGCTGCACATCCTCCATCACAAATTTCCGGTCACGTGGTTGCATGAAATGTTTCCTACACAGTGACCTGAACATTGTCGTTTACACTCTGCACCATACCATCCCATTGGACACACTCACTGTCTTAGGATACATTAAAGATAACAAGAATTTTTTGTGCTTTTAAAAGAGTTTCTATATAACTACAAAAAGGGTACGTATATACGTAAGCGTCTCTTTATAATTGAAAAATTCTCTAATAAGGCGTAAAAACATATTATTAATTTATCAATCAATATAATTACAATTTTTATTTACCGTCTTGGCACATTATTCCAACATATCCAGGATAACACCTCACACATGTTCCGTTTACAATGTTACAATTCTGATTTTGACAGTTGATGGGACAGGGAATGCTACAATTATTTCCAACCCCTGCTCTTGCACAACCTTTTAAATAAAAAAGGTTAATTAACATGCATTTCAAATATTCAATTTCTTAATGATATCTGTCAGGATGAAGGAACGTACTTTTCACATTTATATTCATGTGGAAAAAAATGATAAATATTGCATTAAGATGATAGATGTACTGAAATTTCAATCCTCGAAAACATTTCTCAAACATGCAGTCTCATTGATTTTCCTCTGATGATTACTGTAGATCTTGTCTTATACTGATAAAGCTGGTTAAAAAAAAATGCAAGTATAGAAAAATCTAGCGGAGAAGACATTTCAAAAAACTGACTTTTTGTTTTAAATTGACAAAAACAATATCCATTTTTATATAGCTGGTAAGTAATTTTAAGTTATATGTATAACAAAAAAAAAACCTTGTATTTTCACTTCACATAATTCGGTGAATGAACTTTGAATTTGATATCCTTCAGGATAAGTAACTCCGTCCAGTCTTTCGTTATAATAGATGACGTAACGACCATGTCCTATACATGTTGTGTTAAATTCCAAGGAAGGTAATGTAAGTGTGTTGTTGTAACAAAGATGGCCGTCCTCCTTCTCAGGAGTGGTGGATATATAAAGAGAAAATCCAGCAAACCGACCCCTTTGTCTCATCTCTGAAGGTAAGTAGCATGTAAAAGCAACGTGATAGTATAAGAATAACATTCTACTTGGCAGTATCTTGAGAGTGTTTATATTTATACATGTTTCAAATTGTTGGACTCACAAGAGTGATCAATTGTATTATATGAATTTAAAAAAACAGTTTGAGAAAATGCCTATAAAACTAGGTACCATAGAATTTTTTTTCAAATTCTCCATGCACGATTTAAGGATATGGCCTTAATGTTGCCGTTATTGTTAAAACAAATTGGTATTTTAAACAGCTATACGGACAGACGAGGAGGAAAGGTGTTTGCACAGTCTTATTATCACTGATAAATTCATATTTTCATGAAAGTAAACATGGTAGAAAGTGACTGCAGTGTGCTTTTTGTCTGATTAAAGAAAGTATATGCAGACAACTTGATCGCTGGTCTTAATTTTACCTTTGAAAACCAAAATTTAAGGAAATGATATTCAAAGTATCCATCTCTATTCGACAAAAATTTACATTTCGTAAAGAATTCTCAAAAAATATTTTGCTCTTTATATGATGTTTTCATGCTTAAATTTCACAAATACATATTATGAATATACACATTGAGACGAATGATTGTGTGTACCTCAGAAGTAAAGTTGATACATAAAAATACTTTATACATTGTTTTAATAAATCCTACACATTGATGAGATTTATTTCAGTACATTGTATTTAAGTTTGAGAGGTATACAAATGTTTTCATTTATAATGCATTGGTCTTCATTCTTTTTTTTTTTTTTCTTTTTTTTTTTTTTATTGCTTAAGTTAGGAATTTCTCAAAGTTCGCAAAAGTCTTACTTCAGCCTTAAAGTTTATCCCAAAAAGGTCTGAATGTGGTAATGATCAACACTTTTAAGCTGCATTTTATCCATCCTAAAAGGATGCATTTTTAAATTTAACCCTGGGTCGAAATATATAGTTTAAATACATGTTTTCACACAGATTTGGGTCCCTTAACTGCTACATGTAGTGCAATTGTCAGATTTCAGAATGTAAACAGACATTTGTTTTTGCAATTTAGTATTTTGATTTCAATGTTTAGCGGGGATGGGGAGATTGGGATATTGAATTGAAAATCGGTTTTCCTTCCTATAAAATCCTAATAACCTGAACATCTCAAGTATTTAGTAAACAAATCATCTTTTTGGTTTTTTGTAGATACATGTATAATTTAATATTTCTGAGAAACATGTACAGTTTTGATCCCGGGGGAAATTGGATTTCAGAATTTTTTTTTCAACAAAACATCTCGTTGGACCAGAAGTTTTGATATTTCTTTTTTTTTTTCAAAAACTGATTCCTATTTGATAATACTATGCTTTAACGTTAAACAATCACCCATCCAGGGGTTGAACAGGCTCACCAGTGCTTAATTTGTCTGATAAAGAGGAATACTTTACTGCAAATCTTAAAAATCTAGCTCACTAGCGAGGCAGTATAGATTGTATAAATACATATACACTTCATGTTGAATACAAAATCAGAATGCTTGAGACGCATTGTAATTTTACATTCAGCATAAGTCCCACATTTGAGAAGGTGTAACACAAGGATCATGTCAAATACGGTGTAAGTTATTCGCCTTAGATTTCTCAAAACCTTATTTATGCGTTTAAAAATGTAAATATATAAACGATGCTTGAGTCAAATGAATTTGATGAAAAACAACAAATACAAGACAAAATGCTTGAAAGTGCAGAAACTAATGAGATAAAAAGTTTCTCTGAATATCAATCGAACAAAAAAAGGTCGGTAAATGTTTTTGACGCTCTTTCAACGGTAAAACAGAAACTGAGAGATTGAATGCTTTCTGCAAGTGATCTAAACAACGATCTCCAAATCATTTATTATTATTTTTATTGAATGAAACCCTTAATCAATAACATATAAGTACATGTAGAATAAAAAATAAGACGCATGGTTTGAAGAGTTACAAATGAAATTAATAGCCTTCAGCAAAACAATTGTTAACGTTCGCTGACACGTCCGTTGACAAAATTTTTTTATTTAGATTTTCAATTTCAACTGTAACTTACTATCATTTCATGTGGTGGAGATAGTCCTGTATATTTTTTTCACATTTTTTCAAAATAGCAGATAGTAAGGTAATATTTCTGGGGATATTTGGTGATAAACAACGAGCAAATCTTTTTAGTTAGGTCAATCAGGGATTAACGTCGCCATTCTGTGCTCTCATTCAAATTATCCATGTATCTGGTAATGTTTTGGAAATGTTTTCTGGTCTTATTACTTCACAACTACCTCAATCACATAATATTTGTTTTTCGAAAATCTAAATTAGCTTAGTTACTTAAGTGAGTTTGCTTAAACGAGTTTCGGAAGCGTTTGCATAATTGTACACAAATCTAATATGAATTCATATATATATTCTTAAAAAATAATTATCATAATAAACTGATATATTTACTAAAAGTATAGTATTTTTTTGAAAACAATTCTACATCTTTAGGAGGACCTTTACTTTTTTCCATAATAACCCCTTTTCATTACTTTATGTAGACAGTCTATATTAAAAATTATATTGGCAATCATTTTATCTATAAATTAGGACTTTTTTTATAGTCGGTGGTTACTCTTAATTGATTCTTAATTTTCTTTTAAAAATTACTTACAAGTAATGTAATTTATTTATATACATGTTCTTCGGGGGTCTGAAAACAAAATGTACGAACCTGAAAACCTTTACATATATTACTTAAAGAATCACTGTCTAATTAGCAGGCTATGCCAGGGCATCAACAATAGTGGCAAACATGGGATAATTTGCATAACGTTATGCTACAATTCTCCCACTATTGTTGATGTCCCTGGTATAGCCTCCTAACTAGACAGTATTCCATATATTTCCATTTTTACTTGAAATAACAATCTTAAAATAAATTGGAATACCGTCTAATTTAGTAGATTTGAAATACACGAGGCATTCCATGTTATTTTTAAATAGCCCCGCCCCATGACGTCAAACTTTACTATAAAAAAATACTCCCATTAAACACGAACCAAATTTAATGATTATTTAGTTGCTGTAGCCAAATATCAACATTTATAGAATAAAAAACAAAAGAATTTTAAATTATGATCAAAGCAATCTTGTTAACTTTAATTATATATGTGACCTAGATTTAGGTTGTCGGAAGCACGAACACGTGTATAGGTCCTAGGAGACTTCTCCGCCGCCATATTGAATGCAATGTTGCAGTTGATGAAACGGGAATTGGTCAGCATGGTCAGGAAACAGATTTATGTGGATGTTAAAATAACAGAGGAAGTTGAGTCGCTTGATGGATGGTAATGACTGAGGGACGCTGTCTGTATCAGATGATGGGGTGCAGATCTATGTGGTAATACGGATTTCTCCACGTGTTTCAGATGGGCTTTTTATCATGTTTACCGAAGTGGAGTTCTCGGTCTCGCGAGGCCTCTGTGATAGTGGACTGGCGACTTGCTTTTGATCCGGAGATAATTCATTAATTATTTTATTTGTAAGAATATAATTATATCATATCTAATTACTTAGTAAACAATTAAACAAAACATCTATTTTTTCTTCAGTGTATTTATACGCCAGTCATATACCATACGTATACATGCAGGTTGACATTTGACCTTTCAGTAGTATTTCAATATAGAGACATTTACATGCCACAGGAATCACGGAGAAATCAACAAGATTCACTTTTGTAGTGTTTATTATAGGGAAAATAATTGGAAAAGGAAAATACGTTTTTTAAAACTATAGTCCATGCATGACTTTAAGTAACCTTAAGGACAGATGATACAAAACAAGAGGCCCAAGGGCCTTGAATCGCTCTTCTGATAAATTGTACAACCTATCACTTGTATTTGAAGCCTCTAACCCTAAGTATCCTAAAACCCAAGTTGCATCAACTGATAAAAAGTTTGATGATTCTTAGCCAATTAGGACTGAAGATATTTTAATAAAGCAAAAAAAAAAAAAAAAAAAAACCATGAGTAGGTCACGGTGACCTACTTTAAGATTGAAGTTTTCTGAGGACTCAAGATGCATTAATAGACAAACTAAGGTTGAAGATTCTAAGCCAATATGTATTTGAGATATTCAAAAGTAGGTCACCTTGACCTACTTTTTGGTCTACATTCTTGGAAAACCCCAGTTGCATCAACTGACAAAGTTTGATGATTCTAAGCCAATAAGTACCAGAGAAACATAAATATAGCCATAAAATGTCGAAAGTAGGTTATCATGACCTACATTTTAGTCGACATTTTTCAGAGTCCCAAGATGCATCTGATGACAAAGTTTGATAATTCTAAGCCAATAAATACCTGAGATATTCAAAAGCATGTCACTGTGACCTACTTTTTGGTTGACATTCTCTGAAAACCCAAGAGGCATAAACTAACACAGGGGTTTTCCTGGCTTATTTTTGGGTCCGTTTACCGGACCCATTCCCAATCAAAAAATCAGCCATATTTTCCCAATTTTGAATCTTTTTTCCCAATTATGTATCCATGAAAAAAAATTTGAGAGTTCAGAAAGAAATAAAATATTTGTTTGAATTGTTTCCTTGCAGGACGTCTGTAAATCACGACATGGTCAACATTGATCGTATCATTGAGCTATAAAAATAAGTGATGCAACACATCTGGTAAATCACAACAATGTTTAGTGATTAGTTATTTAATCACTTTTGAGCCATTAAAGTTACCTAAATCTTTTAGAGAAAATAAAAAAAGGTTGCAGTTATCACAAAAGTTGTCATTGTGCAGTCCTTGTATCATCTAAAAATAGCAAGGGTTAGACTAATTTGCCTAAACACAAAAAACCTGTCATCCCACTTTTTTTTACATTCTCATTAAAATAGGCCTATTCTGAGAAATATTTTCATTAATTTTTGTTAAAATACATTATGATAATAAAATCACTGGAAAACAATTTATTCCCAGCATATTATTTCCACAATTGTTTTATTTTTTATTTTTTATTTTTTTTTTTACTCCTGTCATGAATGTCAAGTAAATAAAACTAAACATTTTTCAATGTTTTTCTTCCTCTAATTTTTATTATTCATTAAAAAATATACTCACAATGATTGGTATAATATTAAAAAAATATTTTGTTTTCTGAAATTTTCCAAAAAATATTATTTCCTCTAAAACCTTTTCTTCACATCATGAATATATCTAAATATTTTCCTTGGAAGTTTTCATTACCCAATTGAAAAATATTATCTCAACCTAATTTTTTTTTTTTTTTTACATCAGTGAGTCATAGAATTATAGGCATATAAAACAAAAAAAATTATTATCCAATAATTTATCAATAACTCTGTATATCTTTCTACAGTTGTTCATTCTGTTGTAACACAGACATGAGCATTTGGCTCCTTCATTTTCATTTATTTGGGGAAATAAGAAAATTTGTTCTTTTTGAAATTTTCCCAATTTGACCATATTTCGCATCAATTTTCCCAATTCTGCGGACCCCGGACCCAGTTTAAAAATGGTAGGAAACCCCCTGTAACAAAGTTTGATGACTCTAAGCCAATAAGTACCGGAGATACTTAAATATAGCCATAAAATGTCAAACGTAGGTCATCGTGACCTACTTTTTGGTCGTCACTCTCGAAAACCCAAGATGCATCAACTGACAAAGTTTGATGATTCTAAGCCAATAAGTACCAGAGAAACTTAAATATAGCCATAAAATGTCGAAAGTAGGTTATCATGACCTACATTTTAGTCGACATTTTTCAGAGTCCCAAGATGCATCTGATGACTAAGTTTGATAATTCTAAGCCAATAAATACCTGAGATATTCAAAAGTATGTCACCGTGACCTACTTTTTGGTTGACATTTTTCAGAGTCCCAAGATGCATCAGCTGACAAAGTTTGATAATTCTAAACCAATAAATACCTGAGATGTTTAAAAGTAGGTCACAGTGACCTACTTTTTGGCCGACATTCTCTGAAAACCCAAGAGGCATAAACTAACAAAGTTTGATGATTCTAAGCCAATAAGTACCGGATATACTAAAATATAGCCATAAAATGTCAAAAGTAGTTCATCGTGACCTACTTTTTGGTCGACATTCTCCGAAAACCCAAGAGGCATCAACTGACAGAGTTTGATGATTCTAAGCCAATAAGTACCAGAGAAACTTAAATATAGCCATAAAATGTCAAAAGTAGGTCACGGTGACCTACATTTTGGTTGACATTTATCAGAGGCCTAAGATGCATCTGCTGACCAAGTTTGATAATTCTAAGCCAATAAATACCTGAGATATTCAAAAGTAGGTCACTGTGACCTACTTTTTGGCCGACATTCCCTGAAAACCCAAGAGGCATAAACTAACAAAATTATATGATTCTAAACCTATAAGTACCAGAAATACATAAATATAGCCATTAAATGTCAAAAGTAGGTCACCGTGACCTACTTTTTGGTCGACATTCTCCGAAAACCCAAGATGCATCAACTGACAAAGTTTGATGATTCTAAGCCAATAAGTACTGGAGATACATAAATATAGCCATAAAATATTGAAAGTAGGTCACTGTGACCTAATTTTTGGTCGTCACTCTCCGAAAACCCAAGATGCATCAATTCACAAAGTTTGATGATTCTAAGCCAATAAATACGTAAGATACTGAAATATAGCCATAATATGTCGAAAGTAGGTCACGGTGACCTACATTTTGGTCGACATTTTTCAGAGTCCCAAGATGCATCAGCTGACCAAGTTTGATGATCGTTGGTCTGAAGGTAATCAAAATTTGCCTTTAAAAAAATTTGAAAACAAATGCCTGCAAAATTCTAAAAGTAGGTCACAGTGACCTACTTTTACTTAAATATGTCTTTAGGTCCCAAGATGCAGCAACTTACAAGATTTGATGATTCTAACCCCCTCTGTGTCTGAAATAATGGGATGAGATGTTTTAAAAAGGATAAGACATAAAGTTCAAAAAGTAGGTCACGGTGACCTACTTTTAAGTTGACGTTGTTCAAGGACCCAAGATGCATCAACTGACAAAGTTTGATGATCATAGGCCTTAAAGTGTCCAAAATATGCCTTCAAATCAATTTGAAAACAAATGCCCGCAAAATTAAAAAAGTAGGTCACCGTGACCTACTTTTGAGTTAACATGATGTAAAGTCCTAAGATGCATCAACTTACAAGATTTGATGATCCTAGTCCTTATAGTAAGCAAAATATAGACATTTTCATTAATTGTAAATTTAGGTCAACTTTGAAGTGACCTTGAGACCACACCCTTTGCCCCAGGGTCATGCCTTGAACAATTTTTAATCTTCAACATATTCTGATCACTGTATGTAAGTTTGGTGAAAATCTGCCTGGTGGTTCTGGAGAAGAAGATTTTTTTGCAACCAGTACTTTTGGTTTTGTTTTCCTGATTATCTCCCCTTGTTTTAGGGTCCCAACCCTTATTTTAGTATAAATGGTAGCCCTTGGGCCAAGGATACCCTGTGACAAATTTGACACTGATTGGCCAAGGGGTTCTTGAGTTATGGCCCATATTCTTAAAAGTTAACGCACACCGCACACCGCACACCGCACGACGCACACCGCACACCGCACAAATGGCCATAGCATTAGCTCTTTGAGCCTTTGGCTCAGAAGAGCTAAAAATATGCCTGGATTGGTATTTATTTTTTGGCCTAATTTCATTGCAAATGATGCAAATAATTAATTTCTAGAATATAAGGAAATTGTAAACCTTCTGTGATTTTTAAACGGCTGTCCTTCTGAAACCATCTTTATATTCTTCACTTAAATTCCATTTTTATGCAAATTTAAATAAAAAATCAAAACCAACTGGGTGAAAGTTATTCATTTTCTTCATTTAAACATGACCAAAGTTGTTATTTTCAAATTCTTTGAAAAAAAATTTGTTTGTATCATCTGTCCTTATGGTAACGTGGATGGTGGCATAAATACGATACCACTAAGTTAGAAATGAATGTAAAAAATATATAGAAGAAAACTATACCGTACTCTCCATATTCTTTGTAGTCTTTGAAATGTATACTAATGATGTAAATACTGTAATTTCCACCCAGGTCTACTGTCCACCAAAAATATTTATCAGGAGATCCCTGGCCTATACCAGAGTCCTTCATGCACGTCTTCCTTTCACCATCAATGACTTTATCTGGACCACAGGGGGGATTACATGAGTAGACTGAGGACTGGGTTGCTGTTTTATCGTCTGATAAATTATCTATGAAAGAGAAAGAATTCAATTCCTACAAGTAAAATTGATGCAAAGCATCAAATAGGCCGCAAACAAAATTTAGCATTTCAGAAAGTACTTTCACAATTTTAAAATCAATCATGCAAGTTGAATACAACTTATTCAAAGATGAAATAGTAATCTTTTTTATTTCAGAATGTCTCCAAAGCAAATTAATTAATTTTAAATATTTTTAAAAATTCATCCATGTCCACTTCACTTTATCAATTCTACACTGTCGACATCGCAATGATGACAATGTTGACACGATATTATGATTACATTGTCCACATTGTTTTTATTTATTATGAAGACATTGCAGTGTAGACGATGGTGATGCAATATCGCGTGTACATCATCTACATTGCTATTGTTTCTACATGAGGACATCGTCGACGTCGACATCGCAATGTAAACAATGTTGAAACGATATTGCGTTTACATCGTCTACATTGTTATTATTTCTTCACTGTTAACGTTCGTCGACATCTTCGACATTGCAATGTAAACAAATTTCGATGTCGACGATGTGAACGATGTAAACAAAATAAAAAGAAGGCAATTTTGACGACACAATGTCGACTCGATATCGACCAACATTTCCATGTTGACGAAATAAACGATGTAAACAAGAAAAATTAAAAAAAGACAATGTTGACACGAAGTCGACTCGAAATTGACCAACATTGCGATGTCGACGATCGATGTGAACGATGTTAACAAAAACGGAAGGAGGCAACGTTGACACGATGTCGACTCGGTATTGTCCAATTTTTCACAGCGATGTGAACGATGTAAACAAGAAAAATGAGAGGCCAATATTGACACGATATTGACTCAATATCATCCTACATTGCGATGTCGACGATGTGAACGATGTCATAAAAAAGGGGGAGGCAATGTTGACCTGATGTTGACTCGATATTGACCAACATTGCGATGTCGACGATTTGAACGATGTAAACAAGAAAAATAAGAAGGCAATGTTGACACGATGTCGACTCGATATCAGCCTACATTGCAATGTCGACGAAGTCAACGATGTAAACAACAGAAGGCAATCTTAACAAGATGTGAACTCAATATCGTTAAACGATGTAATATATAGAGTAATAAACAAAGGTATTATCCAGCATTGTAATTGTTGAATATGTTTTGATATAAGGAGGACTGGTATTTTCACAGCGATATCGATCATTTCGAAAAAACATTGTGCACTGGACATACCTCTAAAAATTAAATAAATAGAAAATTGTAGTGCATTTTAATGCATTTGCTCATCAAATGGATTCTTCGAATAATAAAGTCAATGATAAATGAAAAGAAATTAATCAAAATAACAATGCAGGCCTCAAGATGAACCACGTGCCGATACCCTGGATCCTTGTCACGTGATAATGCCCAATCATGTCTTTTGCAGAGGAGACTATGCTGCAAGGCACGGTGCAAATGTAGAAAAAAAAATTTCATTCGCAGCTGTAGAATATTCAAAGCAATATTTACTACTTGAACAACTTTCAAATTTTTTTATTCACCATGCACTTTTATCACTTAATTTTTATCCGGAAAATCTTGACGATTTGCTTTCAAATCTTACACACTCCCAGGGTGGGGAGTACCTATTGTAAACTATTTTTTTTATAACCAAGAATTGTCAATTATCTGATGAGAAATGGTAATGAAATTGAAACATAATAACAACAATTAATACTCAATTCAAAGCAGGCTTTTAAAATATTTTACTCATGATATAATACATGTTATCATTTAAGAATTACTTTACTCTACAAATAAAAAAATAACGTCTCATTTCCCTATGTGCACTTTCTAACACAACCACAAATAGATCGGCCGCTGCTGCGGTCGATGATGACGATGAATATACACAAAGAAAAATATATATATATCCTAAATTAACAATTAAACGTCTTGTACATTTTTTAAAACTTTTTTTCATGCTACCGGTATTTAATATGCATCAATTTTCGATCATTTTTTCAGATATAGCTATAGCTTACAGTTTTTAAATGTATTTTAAATTAACATTTACACAATCAATATCACTGAGTATAATCTGCGCAAACAACTTCTTTACCAATTACGGTTTTGCATTTTATGCCGTAAGCTTATCTGTTTTGCAGTTTAAAGACGCTCTAAACGCATCTAAAGAGATCTATTTTTTGGGTCGTCTTATGCAGTTAGAGTGATCTGCCCTTAGATGTAAGATTAAAGAAATTTGTTATTTACCGTTAATTACATAATTTATCATAGATTAAAATATTTATTAGCATTATATATGACAAATTATTTTCATTAATTTTCCCAATGTATGTAAACAACAGTGATTTCTGCTCATAAATAATCCATTGTCTTTGAACATTTTTCCTGCTCAAATAAGGCACGTACCCTACGGAAGCCCATTTAGGACCTATCAAAAAATATTTTTGAATTCGTTATAACGATTATTAGAATTCGTTATAACGAATTTAATTCGTTATAACAAATTTTTAGAATTCGTTATAACGAATTTTATTTGTTATAACAAATTTTTACAATTCGTTACAACGAATGTAATTTGTTATAACAGATTTTTACAATTCGTTATAACGAATTTAATTTGTTATAACAGATTTTTACAATTCGTTACAACGAATTTAATTTGTTATTACAGATTTATTGAATTCGTTATAACGAATTTCATCTGTTATTACAGATTCATTGAATTCGTTATAACCAATTCAAGAATTTGGTTATAACAAATTCAACAAATCTGTAATAACAGATAAAATTCGTTATAACGAATTCAACAAATCTGTAATAACAGATTACATTCGTTATAATGAATTCAATAAATCTGTAATAACAGATTAAATTCGTTATAATGAAATCAATAAATCTGTAATAACAAATTAAATTCGTTATAACGAATTCAATGAATCTGTTATAACAAATTAAATTCGTTAAAACGAATTCAATGAATCTGTTATAACAAATTAAATTCGTTATAACGAATTCAATAAATCTGTTATAATTAAATTCGTTATAACGAATTCTAAAAATCGTTATAACGAATTCAAAAATATGTTTTGATCATGACACTTTTAAATGATAATAAAATGCCCTTGAAGCCAATGCATGTATATTAAAGAGTATGGTTATACAACAAAACCACATTTACAATATTGTTTGTTTATTTTTTAATGCTTCAATTTTTTTTTTAGAAAATATCTCTAGGAATAGCATTTCTCTTAACTGATAAATCTTTACAATCATTATGGACTTTTGCGAGGAGCGCTGACTTTTACAATTGACGGTTTACTTTTACACTAGCGACAATGTACTGAAGCTCTTTTATGATATAAATATTTAGCTCAACATGCTTCTCGCAAAATTTAAGTCCTCTAGCCGTTGGCAGAACTCCAAAATTGTCAAAATGCAGTTTGTGTCGTTTGTAAAATTAATCAATAATCTTGTTTTTTGAATAATCCTCAAATTTCCCAATTACATAAAAAAATCTATCTATATTTCTTTGCCTTCATATTTACAAAAATGAATATACATGTAACAAAAGAAAACCGGCCCTAAAAGCCTCAGAGTTGGGTCCACTTTCCATAAAGGGGTAAGCTGCTGCTGTCAGATCTGTCGAATGTCTTGTGATGATCAATCAAACAGAAGGTTTCTTACGGAATTCAATAAATGATGACTTAACAATTTGTACGAAAAGATGTCCGGTAGAAAGTTAGAGATTGCATTCACTGACAAAGTCATTGTATCGGACATATGGTCTTCTTTAGAGAAGCAATAGCATTAGTATGTCTACTTAATACACGAGTTTCGAGATTGATACTCTCCTACGATAGAGGCGCAAAAAGTATCCATTTCAGCATGGAGGTTGGACAGGTTGTTTCTGTATACAAACGTGCATCAAGGAACGATATTTGTGGCTTTTGAAATTTATTTAATGTTATAGAAAGATAACAAATAAATGTTAATTATAAGCAGTGGTGCATTTGATGATTTTATCAAGCTCAACTATGCAGATTTACAAATCTATTTTCAATTATAGGGTACTTGAAAACGAAAGAAATGTAGTCTTTATAAAAAGTAACCAATATTCTTGATTGTACAAACATTTTCGAAGAAGTTAGTGGGTTTTTTAAGTTATAATAAAGAAAAGAATCAATGTGTCATTTAGATTGCCGACGTGCATTTTTACCGTATTGATAAGAGGTCCATATCTCTTCCCTCGTCTGAAAACACAAAAATCTCACATCCACTGATATTTTCTTCTTTGTTACGATTTTTGTGCTTTAAAAATGACGCCTTCACATTAATTTGATTCTTCTGGAGTTGTAGAGTGCATCCTGACAATCACGTAGTTATAATAAACCAGTATATCGATGATCCAATGTATCCAATGTATCCAATGTATAAATATCTGTCCCACCTGTCTGTTTACATGGCAACGAAACTCACCTCCTCAACAGAAGAACGCACCAAGGGAGATAATCCCGAAACTTGCGTATTACATGTATCAGTTGCATGCATTTACTTTCGTAAAAACGCATTTTCCGGATTTTCGAGAAACACAAATTGGAGGTCCGTTCTTGTCATAAAATTATGATATCAAATAAGCTGCAGATAATTTATATACGTTTTAATTCTTCCAATATGAAAATTGAGGGGTAAGCGTTATATAAATAAAAATTCCAAAATAACATTGTTGTTTGTGAATTATGCAATATTTATGCATTGTTTTGAAAAGGAGTGCTTTTGACAAATAAGTGATTATTTTAATCTTTTAGCTTTGATAAAATATGTTAAATTTAGGAAGCTTGAAAAAAAGCTTATAACTTAATATTTTCTTTTTCTTTGAAACGTGTTTTTGTGTGCATAAATTCTGATTGGAATATGGTTGAAGATTCTAATTTTTCGTTACTTTTTATTCACGTAAATACGTACTGACAATTGATTAATTAACTAACTCAAATTACTTCTTAAATAGGTCGTGATTGAACATTGATCTCTACAAGATTCATCATAGCTGTGTTTGAAAAATATTTGCAATCTTTATTTTGTATTAAATGGGACTTATTGAATTATTTGATATTGCATTACACCTCTTTTTATCCGAATTCTAAAAAATCATTGCCCAACAAATACAAACAAGGATAAATCCCATCAATAAAAAAACGAGTTTGCTCATTCTTCTTTTTTACGATAAATAAAGTGTTTTACTTACCAAACCCAGTCAAAAAACTTATTCCAAGGAACACAATTGCTAATTTAAAAAGGATGTCCATCACTCATACCTTCAATTCTGACGAGGAAATTTTAAAATTGAATTTTTAAAGGAAAAATTGTAAGGCGGGTAATAGCACAATGATTAAATGCAATATTAACTTCGTATCTTTAAGTGACTGTATTTCATGATATTTCACAATACACTCAACGGGTTAGGTTTTTATACTAACCTCAATGACATATGATATTGTTCCACAAAATTTAAACTTGCAATCATTTCATTTTTATAAAATCTGAGAAAGTTTTATTTTTCCATCATAAAACAAAGTTGAAAAAAAGACAAGAGTTATCATTCCTTGATAAAAGATCAATTCAATAAATGTATTGATATTACTCTGACAGATTTGTCCCGGATAACCATTTAAAATTTGGTAAAGGATTAAACATCATATGAAGTGCTAGATTTTTACAACGTCAAATGTGAATGTACATGTATGCATGTACGGTATATGTGCCTTAAGCTTGCCCTTTGCACTTGATTTGCACTATTACTAGGCGAGCAAATGGTCTAGAAGTATTATTCTCGGGTTCAGGCGACCGTTTCACTAACAGGTCGTAGCTCGTAAACGTAGACGTAAACTTAAGCGTAGCACCTTATTTCCTTTTTACTAAGAGTTACAATTTGCATGTTACGATTAAACTTGATCGTAACTCTACGATCAGTCAAGGGCACTCTTAAAATACTTCCCTGCAAGTAGTTACATGAAAAAAGAAATAAAAACGATAATATAAGCAAGAAACTAAGTGATTTTTCACTTTCTTACATTTCTGTCTGCTTCTAATTAACAACAATATAATAGTATTTTGTCTAACCGAGTCCGATCTTAAAATCACATGGTCGAAGTTAAAAAAAATCAATTTGACAACTTATATAAGATATACTTTATAAATTTTCAATCTATTTTAAGTCTCAAAATATTCTGTTCTCGATTATAAAAATCAAGCAATAAAAATACAGTTTAAAATTAGATCGAATGCGTTTTGTTTACGATCGCTTACAAGATAGATACACATTCTCCACATCCCCTTTGTAGAAATGAATAGTTACACAGAAATAAAATTAAAATAAGCATTTTAACTCTATTCCTCACTGATTCTTTTTTTT